GCTAACAATAGTGGAGAGGTGCCAAAGTGCCTGTGTCCTTACAGCTCCTGAGCCAGAAGCTGGTGCTGGAGACCCTTTCCATGGGCTCTGAGATGGCTTGCTCCTTTGGGACTGTGGTGTTTTATGCTGCATTCAGCACAGAGCTGCCTGCTGCTTGCACCTTCTTCTTGGGTGGCCACTTGTGGGTCCCTTCCAACTCAGCATATTCTGTGATTCTGTGAACCAGTTCCCTCAGGAATGGGGTGAGGACAGCATGGCTCAGGCCCTGCTCCCCTTTGCCCTTTGGGATGGGGGATCGGAATGGGGGGTTGCCTCTAATAACCACTCTATGAAGGAAGCAGGAGGCTTGCTGGCAGTCAGAAACCACCACAGAAGAGGGACTTCTTAGGATTTTAATGAGTGAGGAGTTGGAAACTCCCTGCAAGATTACTTGGGGGAAAATGGGTAATCTCTTAATTGGAGCTAATATCTCCTCATCGGACTCTGAGCCCCATCTGGCTCAGAGGAAGCAAAGAGTTAAAACCCAGAGTCAGGAGAAGGGAGCAAGTGAGGGAGAGGACCAGGTGATCTAGAGCAGGGGAGGGAGGGAAAGTGGGTGGCAGGCTCAGGCTGTGCTGCAGGGAGGGCTGCTCTGTGCTGTGTTTCAGCCAATGTTTGCAGCCGTGGCCCCACGACCACCCCTGAGTTTTCAGCCGCCTTCCGTTGCCAGTCGTAGGCACAGCTGTGGATCACAGGTCTTGAGCTCCCTCCGCCTGATGCATCCAGATGTTCCCTCACTCACTAAACCTCTTTTTCTAGGTCCTGCCTTCTCCCTGAGGCATTTTGCATGGCTTGTGTGCAAGCTCTGCCCAGGGTGCAGGGGGGCAGCTGAAAGGCCAAGGTCCCACCAGGGCTGGGCAGAGTTTGTGGAAAAGCAAGGGCCATTTGAGCCATGCAACAAGGAGGCTGCCTGCTTTCCCAAAGCCTGGCTTATTGGGCAGACCCTGTTTGTTTACAGCTTTTGAATGTACAAAAAGTGTAAATTGCTCAACGAGCCAGCAAAGGGTGGATGTGCATTGTCTGTGAGCAGTGATGTAGCTTTTGAGCCATATGTGTGCTCTGGGTTGCATCTCTTTCCTGTGCATAGCCTGTATGTGTGCTTGTACACTCAGCTGCAGGAGGATGTGATACAGCATGTGTCACATGGGTGCAGGGGGATGAGATACAGCGTGGGTCATGCCGGATGTCAGAGCGACGCTTTGTGCTGTGAACCTCTGAAAGTGCAAGGGCCTGTGGAAACCTGCCCAGAGATGGGAGTCAGGAGAAGCACAGCAGAGGGATGCCTAGGAGAGCAGCAGTCAAAGCAAGTTGTAATGAGAGCTGCTTTGCAAAATGTTGCTCTGGTACAGGACTGCTTTGGTCTCTGCCAAGTGATGCTTTTCTGTGTTACTTCCTGCACAGGGTACCTAAAACAATACCAAGGTTTGAATGTCTGGTTTGATGTTAAAGGCCAGTTTGCAGATGCTTTTCGGAACACACTGCCTAGGCTATACTCTCATTTACTCTGGTAGCTCCTCATTCTTTTACCTGTAGGAATGACATCCTAGCTGGAGAAATTTGGTCGGACTGCAGCATCTCTTGACAGGACAGGACCCATTTGCAGTCTTGCAGTGGCCCCCTCCCCTCCCCTTGCCACACTGTCCGCAGCTTGCACTGTGTTAAATCCCACCGCTCCAGCGCCTGCTGGGTCTGCAGACTGGTATTAAATTGAAGCAGCTGGCCTCTTCATCACCCTAATCAGATTGAAAGAGCAGGGACAGTGAAAAAAGTTAGTGCTTGCTCAGGCACATTTTACTATGTCTGAGACAATTACAGCCTAAATGCTCAAAGAGGAGTTGATGTTATGTATCGCTTTATACAGCGAAATGACTTCTAAAGCCTGTTGGGAAGAAGCTCATAACCATGTAACACTACTTTTAGATGATTACCATGTGATCTTAGGTAAATCTGCCTAAGGGTTCAGGTTTTTCCAGTCAAAATGTCCCACTCAAATAAATGAAGTCATCTGTCATCTGCTAATACATGCTAAATGACTGCTAGCCTATCAGTGGAAAAGCAAAACGTCCCCCCAGACTGTGTGAATGCTTTCATAACACGTGGGAGCTATTTACCGTGTCAGGATCCATGAGCCAGGAAAATAGACAGAGGACGGCTCATATCTGATGAATATTTTATTTACTTGCCTACAAACAAAGTGGTGGACTCGACAGATTTGAAGCATTTTTGCAATAGATTTGTCATGGTTTAGTAATCAGGAAAGGTAGAATTGTTGTGTTTTTGAAGAAGTCTTTAGAGCAGCAGTTCCCAGATTTGGGATTGCGTCCATATTTGAGGTTATTGACTCTAAGGCATAAGTGGGACCACAAGCTTCTCTTTTAGTCCAGGCATGCAAGTGGGACTGGGAGGTTGTTGCCCCAGATGCAACTTTTGCTAGGGTGGAGTCTGTGCAACAGCTCTGGCTTTGCCAGTGCATAATGTGTAAGCTAAAGGGATGGATGGGTTCATGTTGTGTTGTTTGGGTTACTTCAGGCTCAGAGCTCGCACTGCAGTGCGTTGTAAAATTACGTTTGCTGCCTAAATAAATCTGTACATCGCACTTATACGTGGTGGGGCAGTTCACCCAGGGCAGCAGGACAGCAGAGTTTCCAAAGCCACTGTGGTCATGGGCTAGCAGAGAGGCTCAAATGGAAGAGTCAGGCATTCAGATCCAGAGAACATGGGTTCCCAAAAACCCACAGGAGAGCCCAGGCCTCTGGTGACTCAACATGCCTGGGTCTCTGCAGCTTGAGAGCCTGCCTTTTTCTGTCACAAGCTGCAGGGACTTATGTGGGCTAAATCATTTCCAAGCGTGGTAGGAATGGTGCAGGATGCCCAGCTGGCGATGGGGGAAGTCCTCCCTCAAGCTTTCCAGGCAGCCAAAGGACAAGGCTCAGCGTTGCCTCCTTATAAAACACTCGTCGTACATAGCAGGCCTCCAAGCAAACAAGATCAGCTGGAGCCTTCGAGCATTTGGAAAATTTACTGTTGTCAGTTTATCCTGTTTTTTCCTTTTTTGTACTTGCAGACTGGAAAATTTTTTGGTGCAGTGGATGGCTCAGTAATGACCCAGCTGCTAAACATGGGCATGTTCAGGCGGTAAGTGGGGGATCTCCACGCTGTACTTCTCGTTCTTCGCTGGTGTGTGGGTCAGAGCATATTGGTCCCCCTGAGAAGCACTTGAGCAGGGGAAAATGTACATGCTGATGATGCATGTGACTCTCTTATTTAGAAACAAGAGCTCCTTTAGCTACCTGCCCCCTCCCCCGACTCGCTCAGGGATCATCACCACACAGGCTGTTTCTCCTCATCTCCTGCTCTTCCACCTGCTGCAAAACACAGAAAGACACAGTAACTTCCAATCTTTATGTGGCCAGAAAGTAGCTGCTTCTCTGTCTGGGAAACATTTCTTGGCATTTTGGGTACAAAAGTGCTTCAGTTCCTCCTGCCACTGGGAAAAGCCTTTCTACGGAATAGTTGTCTGAGAGCCGCCCAGGATGCAGCATTGCAACTGGCTGACCACATTTCTCTTTCTCTTAAAAATACTTCTGTTCATCTCAGTCCACTCCCCCAGCTGATGTCAAAAGAGAGTTCAGAGTTTCAGTGAAAACAGGAACTAGAGGGCCCTGAGGTAGTTACAATCATAATTCCTCTGCTTCACAGCCTGCTTTACTCACTCTCTGAAATTAGGGACATATTTCCTTCTGACCCAGTTGCATTAATCCAGAGCCTGTATTTCTTGCTCTGCAGGATCCAGCACTGGCCAAACAGCAAAGACACATGTAAACAGGTCGCTGCTTTAGTTCATACAGGAAATATTTCATACATGAAATTTTTTAGAGAAAGCTGACGTGTCTGTCCCCTAGGCCACTTGCATTGCTTGCTTTTGACTGCTGGCTTGTTTTGTTTTGATTGCAGGGTGACCATGTATGACTACCAGGCAATGTGCAAAGTACCCTACCACCACCACAGCGGCGCCCGGCCCCTGCTCAGCGTACGTATCTGGCAGCATGCAGCCCTCCCCGGGCTGTGCTTTCTCCTAGGGCATCTCCAGCACCTTGGGGCAGCACATTCCACAAAAAAGACTGTAGCAGATGTTTGCTTTCAAGCGGTGGGAATGTCCAAACTCATCTAAGGCAGGTCTCTGAGGCGGCGGTGGCCTCTGGCTGTGGTTTCCAATGTGGATCTCTATTGGCATATAGGATCTCACTGAAAATTGGAAGGTTCAGGGAGAGGACATGAACTAAACTATGGCAGGCTTCCCCTAAAAGCCAAGGAATCAGCTAGCAGCTGAAATGAACAGGAATCCTTTTACAGGGCATGGTTTTACTCAGCAGCTCATAAAGGAGGGTTGCTCTGTCAGGGAACATCCGGGAGAAAACTGACAGTCATTTGGGGAATTATGAGTGGAGTTGGAGCAATATCCCTGGGTGATAGCCCAGGGAACAAACCAACAGAGGGAAGAGTTTTACCAGTACCCAAATGCAACCTCTCTTTAGGCTGATACAAACCAAGAATCTAATCCCACTCTACCTTCCTAACGTGGCCTGAAACAGGCAGAACAAAGTAATTACTCAACCCTTAGGCCATTTTAAACTAGTTGACACAACCCTAAACAGGGATTTTAACACTTTTAACAACGTTACATTTTTAACAGTAAGTCTGTTTTGGAGTGGCTATACTTAAGCTAGATAAAATATTGTGATTGTAGTGAAAATATTTGCTTGATCATATCCTCCAATTTTGATTACTGTCACAAAATATGAGCTGTCAAAACCAAAGTGAACTGGGAAGAGAATACAAAGGTGAGCATTCAGCCTTCATCTCTCATCTTCCCCTCTTAGCAAAACCCTTGAAAAGGAAAAAATCAAGAAAAGTCTGTTTTTTATATTCACACATAAGAATTGGTCGAATTCCCAATAATCTCTACATTTTACTATTTGCTGACTTATTTTGGCTGAAGATAAGTCAGTTAGCATAATGGAACATTATCTTGTGTCCTGTGACTACTGCATCTGTTTTGGGTTTGAGGACACGGGCATGATTATGAGAGAGAGAGATGAAAATTAGACATGGTTACCATGAAGAAAAGAAGCAGCAGGATCCTCTGCAGATGAATTGTCCCTGGGATAATGCTGGATTTCCAATTTGTAGCTGAAAAGCAGGAAGATGATAGAAGTCATGCCATCTTGAGGAAAAGCTGGATGAAAGCACAGTTAAGCATAATCAATCAATGGAAGATAATACTAAATCCTGGGCTTGTCCCAGAAACACCACTTGCTATCAGAACATAAAGCATCCTAAACTGGTGGTGTCCCATTTAGCTGTGTTTCTCTCCTGCTCTGAGCTCTGAAGGTCATCCATACTGGAGAGAAATCATCAAGCAATTACATCTTCAAAGTCCTTCATACATTTGTGATAAACTCTCTGACCCTGATGGGGAGGGGGTGAGAAGATATTATTAGTAGCAAGGCAGCTCTGCTGGCTTTTTACATCAAAACATTTTGAACATTTTCCAGTGATGCCCAGACCTTGAATTTCCAGCCTGTCTTCAAGAGCTCTGATCAGTGGAGGGAATTGGTCTGAAATGTGGGGTCCTGCATAACAATTATAAATTCTCTGACCAGGTCCTTATGGTATTTCTCATTTCTTCTTTTGTTCTCCAGCCAATTTATGCCTTTCTAGCTGCAGTGAAATGGCTGATAAGTGATTTCCTCATGTGAGTACCAAAAGATGGGGGTGTTTGGGAGGCTCAGAGCAAGGGGGTCAAGAGCTGAGAAAGCTGCAAGAGGAGGCCCCTGCATAGGGCATTGCTGTCAGCCTTCTCCTGACATTCAGCTCAGCCTTGCTCCTGGGAGACAGAAAGCTATTACTATTCCCATTTTGAGAGGCAGAGGCCCAAAGTGGGTCTGGGATTTACCTGAAGTCACTCAGTACAAAGTGCCTGAGTCAGAAATAGGACTTGGGTCTCCTGGGGCCCTGTGCAGATCCTTGATGCCGAGTCCTCTTGCCTGTCTCCTTTGCCCGTGCTGAGCGAATGCACACCTTCCTTTCACAGGGGGAGAAGGCTGAAGGAAGCAAGCTAGGGAGCTCAGCTCTGAGTGACAGGCCAGGGAGAAGAGAGGGAAGGCTGTCCCCTAGATTTGGGTTCCCCTCAAACTTCTGGGGTGAATCAGAGTTCAAGCTCAAATTAGGATGAAAGTGCCACTGCTCATCTTGCTGGGTGTGGAAAAGATACATCTCTGCCTATTGGTGCAGAATAATTCAAAGTGGCATGTAGTTACCTTCAAGTAGACAGAGTATAGCCTTCTGATGGCCATCCATGCCTGCTCCTCAGGTGGGGCCCACAGGGACTGAATTCCCTCCCAGCCTCAGGGGTTGCTGTACTCATTCCTTCCTTCACTGGCGAGCCCCTCACACTGTATATACCTCGGGAAAAAGCCCGTTCCCATCTTCCACGGTACAGATCCCACGATACAGAGTTACACTCTATCATATGGAGAGGAAAAAAAAATAAAAAAAAAAATCAGACTTCCACTGCCAGCAAATTTGCAGTAAACATTTTAGAACTGATACTTGCCGGGCAACAGGGCCATCTCCCTGACACCTGCATCCTTCCAGGCTGCTGAAAAAGCATCCTCTGTTCTTGCTCTTTTGACAGCTTCCTTTTGGAGTTTAACATGAGTAGCTTCTGGCACTCAAACAACTTGGCAGATGGTGAGTACACAAGAGTCCAGCCACCCCACAGCACGTGAGTGTTACAGCCACGGGTGACAGAAGAAACTGTATGGGGAAGCCTGGCCTTGTGCAAGGAGCCTGCCATGTGCCCCACACCTCTTCTTCCATGGACACTGTAATCTAGCTTCCAGATCCTACCACCACCACATCTCCCCCCATTTCCACCCCCATTTCAGGCTGCCACAGCACCAGAGCGGTCAGAGTGAGGTGTGTGCTGCTCAGAGCTTGCTTTCCTCAGGATTACTTGCTGAGGAGGTGGGAGGTGCTTCTCTCTGAGGACTCCTACCCTGAGTGCAGTGGGATGAGAGAGGCCATCCGCTGCAAAGCACTTCAGTTGGAAAGACTCCCTTCCAGTCTCCGACAGGACAGGACAGAGCAGGGCTGGAGCAGGAGGTTCTCCAGAGCCTAGCAGGGGTTTCAGGAAGCTAGACAGAAACCTTACAGTTCAATAACACATTGAGGGTCTTCACTTACCCACTGGACCTGCTCTGGAAGAGAGAAGATGATGGCACATGGTATTGCACAGCAGCTGAGTGCAGCAGAGGGATATGTCTGGTTTGAAATCCAGTGATCTGTCCTGCAGCTGTAGTGCTGCCTGCTAGAAACATCCTGGGAATCTCCGTGGTCCCATCCCTAGCCCTGCAGGCAGGGGGTGATGTTGATGGCACTGAGGTGACTCCAAGAGAAAGATGAGGTGTGCTCTGTGCAGCCCTGTAAGGGCTGTTGTTGCATTCTCATTAATTATTGATCACTATTTTAGTGGAGACAGCGGTACCTTCCATGCTAACTGTGGAGCTGAGTCTTCTGCACTGAACTCTCCTGGTGTAATGGGGAAACAGTCATTTTTAGAAAGCAAAATTCCCTTCTGCTCAGAAAACAAGGCCTATGTCTGGGTACTGTTTAGGTCTCACTCACTTTCTCCAAAGAGATGGCAGTAGAAGCTGCAGCTATCCTCTAAGTGGCCCTGGCTGCTGCCATCAGGATAACAGGAGGGGCCCCATGCCAAAATCAGTGAGGAGGAGTCAGGTGAGCAAGTGCAGTGCTCGTGCCAGGGCAGGAGAGACTGCTCCTTCTGGAGGACAGACTGACCTGGTGTTTCTGCACTGAGCTGCTGTGGCTGCTCGGTGGCTGCTGTTGGATTTAGTCTTTGCTCGAGGAGATGTGAGGAAAAAGGGAGGGGGTTCTCACTGCTGCCCTGCTCATCACCATTTCCTTTTGTGCTTTCTTCATCTCTTTCCCACATCACCTCCATGACTGCTGTGTGTGAATCCATGTGTTCATTGTGCTGCCATCATGTGAAACTGTCACGTGGCTCCATCGTCACTGTGTGTCTGTGTGTCACGGCACTTCTCCAGCCAAGGCTGTCTTCCATCATTGTAAGTAGAACCACTTAACAGCGAAAAAAAGAGAATTAACTAGAAATTCCAGGCTAGGAAAAACTTTTTTCCACCTTTTGGACAGTGGGGAACTTGCAGAAAGGTGTGACAGGGACAAGGCAGTGCCTGGCTCTATTTCCCTGCTCTGCAAAGAAGCAAGAGAAGCTGTTGCTCATTTAGCTGGCTGAGCTGGTGATTGAAGGTCTGTCACTGAGAAGTTGATAAAAGAAGGAACACACAAGCCTCCTCAGGGACTACAATCACAGGCAACATCATCACTCATTACTACAGCATAGCTGGGCCCATAGCCTGTGTACTATGGCATGTCCTTCACCTTGGTTCCCAGCAGGCCCGTTCTGTTTCAGTTTTTATCCCCAAACCAAAGACCGACCCACGCCTTCTTGCAGGAAAAACTACACGAGTCTCGTAGACTTCAGTTATTAAGAAGCAACTTAAGTCTTCTTTTCCACACCCCATGGCTTAGGTCCTTCTGATAAATCCCAGCCCAGCTCCAGGATAATACAAAACTACTTTCAAGCAGTTCAACTGATAAGTATATGCTCTAGCTCATAAATCCACTCCTCCAAGACGGAGTCCAGACTGTGGCTGTGTTTGTATCTCCCTGATTCCATATCTAGCTTGTATTTGCTGATTTGCTCTCTGCCCAGCAAGACGTATGT